GGTGCACACCTTTAATCCCAGCACTCAGGAGGCAGAGGCAGATGGATCTCTGTGAGACTGAGACCAGCCTGGTCTACATAACAAGCTCCAGACCAGCTGGAGTTATAGAGAGACCCCGTCTCAAAAAAAAAAAAAGACGACCCCAAAAAAAAAAAAAAAAAAAACAAAGCAAGCAAACAAAAACCTCATCAAACCAAACCAAACCACAGAAGGTATATAGAATTCCAAATAGACATGACCAGAGAATATCTGGTTATTAAAAAACACAAAGTAGTTGGGCATGGTGGCATATACTTTTAATCCTGGTACTTGGGAGGCAGAGGCAGGCAGAGCTCTGTGAGTCTGAAGTCAGCCTGGTCTACACAGTGAGCTCCAGACTAGCCAGGGCTACATAGTGAGACCCTGTCTCAAAGAATTAAAAGAAAAAAAAAGGTGAAGAAATAATCCTAAGGGGCTGGAGAGATGGCTTAGCTGTTAAGAGCCCTGGATGCTCTTGCTGAGGACCCAGGTTCAATTCCCAATATCCAGATGGTGGCTAAAAACCGTATTTAACTCCAGTTCCAGGGAATCCAGTGCCCTCTTCTGACCTGCACTGAATGACACAGATGCACTTACATACGTGTAGGCAATACACTTATACACATAAAATATTTTTTAAAAAGAAGTAATACTAAGCCGGGCGTGGTGGCGCACACCTTTAATTCCAGCACTTGGGAGGCAGAGGTAGGCAGATTTCTGTGAGTTTGAGGCCAGCCTGGTCTACATAGTGAGTTCCAGGACAACTGGAGCTATAGGGAGACCCTGTCTCAAAAAGACCAAAATACTCACTCACTCACTCACTCACTCACTCACTCACTCACCACACACAAAGGCACAAATACCAGAATTACCCGAGACTTTTCTTTTTTAAAAAATATTTTATTATTTTTATTTCACGTGTAAGTGCACTCATGCCACGCAATGCCTGTGGAGCTCAGAAAAGGGTGTCATATTCCCTTGGAACTGGAGTTACAGATGGTTGTTAGCCACCAGTGTAGTTGCTAGGAATCGAATCTGGGTCCTCTCCAAGTGCAGCCAGTGCTCTTAACCACTCAGCCATCTCTCCATTCCCAGACTTTTCATCAGCAACCATAAAAGCCAGAAGAGCATGGAATGAAATAGCTTAAGCTCTCAAAGTAAATCAATATGAATCAAGAATGCTCTACCCTGCAAAGTTATCATTCAAAATTGATGGAGAATAAGGGTTTTTCAAGACAAACACAAATTAAGGCAATTCATGACAACTAAGCCAGCATTGCAGAAAATTCTTCAGCATACTTTATAGGGAGACAGAAGACAGCTTCCTCCACATGAATACATTGTATACTCCATGAAAAAGAACAAGTAAACAGACTAGACCTAGGACAGAGGAACTCCAGAAGCACATTGCTGCTTTTCCAGAGGACCTGGGTTTGGTTCCCAGCACCCACATGGCAGCTCACAACTGCCTGCCTGCATGTGGTGTACACACATACATTCAGGTACAAATATATACACATAAATTAAACAAACTAAATAAATCCTTAAAAAAATTGATGCATGGATGCAAATAAAGTATAAAGTTTAGTTCACTGCAATGTACCAACAGCGGTTTCATAGTATGGTATGGTCTTCAAATGAAGAATGAAGACCCTGTAAGAGAAAGATGTTAGCAATGGACGGAGCTGGGTAAAGGGTACCTGGAAGCTGTTTGTACTATCCCTACAAGTTTTTAAAATCTAAAATTAAGGGCTGGGCATGGTGGCGCATGTCTTTAATCCCAGCACTGGGGAGGCAGAGGCAGGTGGATCTGAGTTCAAGGCCAGCCTGGTCTACATAGAGAGTTCCAGGTCAGCTGGGGCTACAGGGAGACCCTGTCTCAAAAAGATAAAAAAGCAAAACAAAACAAAACACTAAAATTAATATAATTCATTAAGTTAGTTCAGAAAAACCAACATCAGCAGCAACAACAAAAAACAAAAACACCAAAAAAAAAAAAAAAACCAACAAAAAACCACTACACTTCTTTTTCTGCAGAGTGAGAAGAGTGCTCAGTGGGTACGAGCATTTGCTGTGTGCAAGTCTGACAACCCAAGCTCAATCCCTGGAGCCCATGGTGGCAGGATTCCTGAGTTCTCCTGAGAACCGATTCTCTAAAGTTGTCCACACATGTGCCATGGCACACATGAACCTGCACTCACACAGGTAGTGATAATAAAATAAAAATGATTTTAGAAAAGAAAGTCAGAAATATATTTCAATGTATCTGTGGGATCCTCATTACACTGGACATTTTACATGTAGGTGAGAGAGTGTTAAGGTTTCCACTAGTGTTCACTCAGCTTCACAGACTTATGCTAGAGTTTTAAAGGCAAATTGGAAACTATTTCCTGGAACAACGCCTCACAGCATGCCTTTTGATATTTGGATTATATTTCTTAAATTCTGAAGAAATTTTTTCTTTTCCCCCCTTCTGTGCGTTTTTGATGCTGAGCTGTTTCCGGTTTTCCCACACTCCTGCTTGTCACAGAGAAGAAACCACAAAAATGCAGCAAAGCAAAGTTAGTCCAAAGAGCTGCAATTCCATCTCAGGAGGCTGCAGAGATCTCCTGCCAGCAGCGAGTTCAGGGCCGCAAGCTGTGCCTTCACATGTCCAGCCCTACTGCCCAGGTCTACTTTTCCAACAGACTGCACCCCAGGACCAAGTTGGGTAATCCACCAAGGAGATTCAACAGCTGCTTTCGACACACTAATTCCCTGGCTAGTTGTGGGCTCCTCGGAGCTGCAAAGTGTCCTGAACATCAGAGGATGACTGAAGTTCACTGAATTCTGTTTATCCACTGACCTATGAAACAAATACTGCCCCGTTTTACAAATGAGGAAACTGAGGCTAATAGGTTAAGTAACTTGCCCAAAGTGTTAAATAGGTAGTGCAGCTCTCAGACCTCATCAGAGAAGTTTCTCTATGCAGTGGACGGTGGTTAATGGAGAAATTTACAACTGGTCAAAGTGCAGAGAATAAGTGTCAGTGGAATGCTCGGCCATAAATAGGACATTTTATGTCCCCCCTACCCTCTGAGGCTCAAGGACCATCATGGAAGAGAGGGTGGAAAGATCATAAGATCCAGAGGGCTGGAAGGACTGAAACAGGGTCTTCTGGACTTGACAGGATCACTGTACTCATAGACTCACAACAGCTGTGGTTGCTGGAACAAGACCTGTACAAGATCAAACCAGTCAACATTCCAGTAGAGTGTGCACCAAAGGGGTCATGACCCCTATCCCTAACTGAGGAGTTATGGATGGTTGATGGCTTCTAGAAGAGGAAGAGTCAGTGCTCTTGAAGGGTGTGGTTCCTGATGGGCTGGCTGTGCTCTGGTGGATGGTCCCACACCCAGGAGCATATCAGCAGCTCAAATTGGAGTCAATGAGTTATTTAAAAAAAAAAAACAAAAAACAGGAAATGAAGTTGAGGTGGGGCTGGGAAAGTGAGGATGGATCTGGTAGGAGTTAGGGGAAGAAGCTGGGGGTTTATATGATCAAAATACATTATATGAACTTCTCAAAGAATTAAAACTTGTAAGTGTCAAATGTGCAGTGTAGTTCAGGCAGCCTGGTAGCAGGGACTTCACTATTTTTTTTTTTTTTTTTTTTTTTTTTTGTTTTTTTGAGACAAGGTCTCTGTGTAGCCCCAGCTGGCCTGGAACTCACTATATAGACCAGGCTGTCCTCAAATTCACAGAGATCCACCTGCCTCCGCCTCCTGAGTGCTGGGATTACAGGTGTGTGCCACCACACCTGGCTTGGAGCTGCAGTCTTAAGGATTTGACTGTAAGGACACGAGTGCCTCGAGCTCGAGTTCTCGAACACACACACACACACACACACCACTTTTCTGTCTTGCTACAGGCATTCTACTCTGAGCTGCAGTCTTCCTACTGCCCTTCACTCCTGCTCCAAGTGGTGCCACGGTCATTATGATGCCAGTCTGGGGCCTAGTACTTAGCAGGTATTGAATATTTGTTGGATAAATGAATAACGGCAACAATATGATTAAAACAGGCAGAAGGGATTGTTTTCAACTGAAATCTACAATTTGATTCACCCTCCAAGGCAGAAAAAGCAGTAACTAATTTCTCTGCCTTTCTTACAACTAAAGTTGAACTTGTGAAGGGCAAATGAATGAAGAGCCTTAGTAAGAGCAAGAGGAATAAATACTACTCTCTAGGTATCTACATGGCAGGAAAAGCCTCTGTTTCTCCAGCATCTGATAGGTTCCCTGGTTTTAAGCTGGAGAAAAGCTGCTTATGGCAATAGCCTTCACCAATCTATTTCTAGTTTACTAGTTAAAAGGCTGGAGGCAGAGTGAAGGACACTTTAATTTAGGCATGGGGGTGTCTTTTCTGGTATAAAAAAGGCAGACTACAAAAAGGCATCAGAAATACTGTTGCTACAGTGTGTTAATGCCAATGAAGCTAACGCCTCAAGTGTGATGTCGGTCCTGGCTGCCCACTCAAATGCCTAAACATGAATGAGCCAACAAGGAGAAGAGGGGATTGAATTTTATATGAAATGGAAATGAACTGGTTTTGCAGAGTGGCTGAGAGAAGACACATTGAGGGAGACCATTTTATCCTTTCTCCAAGCCTAGGACTGTTACCTGCTATACTGTCTGTAGCTCCTGGAAGTCTGGCCAGCAGAGGTGGTGCACAATAAATGCTGCAGACAGCTTTCATCATAATCACCTAGGGCACCAAAGAGCCCAGCGGATGCCCCTCCCACAGGTGGAGTCCGGTCCAGTGTTATGATTCCTTCCCAGGTGATTCCAATTTGCAGCCATGGCTGTGCCCCAAATTAGCCACTGCTCCTCATCAAGTGTTCTGATTTTCAAGGCAAATAGTCTTGAAGGCTTCCCAAAGACGCCGTTAGCTAGAACTGACATAACATTAGAGAAATTGAACAGATGATTACAGAAAACTTACTTGGAAGCCCTCTGGGATGTTGCCTTTCTGAGCACTTGCTTGTGATTGGATGGAGCCTTGGGAACCAGGGAGGAGGAACTTGGAGGTGGCACTACTTTTTGTGGCAGAGTGTTTGGCTTCTGGCCACCAGCTGTGGCACTTGAAATCCTGCAGCCTGCACCATTATTCGTTGTCCATAAATTGGAGTTAGGTAGTGTCTGGCTGCCAAAGATTGCCTACAAGAAAAAGGGAACAAGCTCATCAATGGAGAGCCCCTTCACCACTCCCTGATGTATGCAACTGATCTGTAATTCTGAAAGGGGGCGGGGGCGAAGATAAAAGGTGTTGCAGGTTTCCTCCCATGGGTCCAGCCCATGAATCCAGCCCACGAGGGACTGCAGGGAATGAGGGTTCTGGCCGAGGTAGGGGCAAGAAGCGCAGAATCAACACACAGACTCTGGGAGCAGGATGAGAGCAAGCACTAGGCAAGGTGCTGCAGACTCATTTATTGCTGGGAAGTGCAAGCCTTATAGACCTCTCCTCCTGCCCCCAGCGTCCCATAAGTTGGTGTGTTGCTTCCTGATAGATCCCCTCATCCGGGCAGATCACAGGTTGGCCATTTTGCAGAAGCGCGGGCTGCGCTCTCAAAGCGGAAGCTGTGTTCTCTTAGTGCAGCCTGCGCTTAGGCCTGGCACTTCCTCTCCTACAAAAAGGGAAACTGTTAATTTCTTAGGAGAAACTTCCCCAACATTGTCAGTGCAGATCTAGATCCATGCGTCTCTCAAAACAGAGTTACATGGGACTTGTTGAAAGTGAACTGACTTAGGAATTAGGGCACCTGGGCACTATGGGTTGGTCTGTACATGTAAATTAGAAAACTATTTTGCCACTGGGTCTTAGTTTCCTTCAATGTTAATTCCAACAAGTGTTTAATGAATGTTTCCTTCTATGTCAGAGGCAAACTGATTGGAAGCATGGCTGGATACTAGTCTACTTCAGCACTTGGAACCCCTCTAGAAGGAAAGGGCCTGTGTGGCCAGGGCATCATGAGCAAACAGATGGGTAGAAGAGTCTGGAACAGAAACAGGAGCATGGCTTTGAGAGCTGGTTTTAGAACTCCAGCATAGTAACACCATGACAATCTCAAATTTAATGTAAGACAACATTTGACAATGCTTTAAAATAAGTTTACTGTATAAATACAAGTCACCTAATGACTACAAGACTGGCACAAGGATATTTCTGCAGGAAGGTGGGCTTATAAAGATCCCAACAGTGCCACCTAAATACCCCAAGTGCCACACATATCTGGAGAATATGAAGGCATACTTCTTTCATATAGATGTTCAACAAAGGTTTTTCTTTTTTTCATTTTTCATTTTCAGGTATGTATGGTGTATGTATGTGTGTATTCATGTTTGTAGTGTACAAGTATGTGCATGTGTGCATGTGCACGTAGAAGCCTGAGACTGATGCTGGGAATCATCCTTAAACATTCTTCCGCCATATTCATTGAGGCAAGGTCTCTCAATCAAGCCCAGAGCTTGCCAATGTGGCTAGCTTCATTAGCCAATTTGCTCTGGAGATCCTGCCTCTGCCTTCTGAGGCCACGCCCAGGGACATTTATGTAGGTTCTGGAAATCCAAACTCCAGCCACCATGTTTGTGTGGCAAGCATTTTATCTGCTGAGCCATCGCTCCAGCCCCACTTACCAAATTCTTACAATTTATTTACCTCAGTAGGAATTTGTTACCAGTAACAAATAGTATAAACACTACTTTCATTATGCATGCATTATAAGAACTTTAACTGCGAAGTCATACTAAGTGAAAGATAATCACAAAATATATAGTATTTTTTAAATAATAGGATATCCTGAAACTGACTTCCATCTGTAGACAGAGCATACAAAGAGAGATGGAGAGAAAGGCATGTCTACATGGCTGGACTTGATGGAATGAGAGGAAATGTTTTTAGAAAATGCCAACTGTCCACAGACTTTATTTAGAATACTTTTTGGCCTTTATGAATTTTATTTTTCCAGATTTAAAAGAGTAACTGGGAGGCCTTGGGGAAATGTTCACTAATTCTTTTCTACTCATGCCTCTGGGAAATGAGTTGAAAAGTTGAAAAGGAATTGAGGAGTCTTGTACAGAATTATACATGTTGACTCAAACGCTTGACTAAGAACAGATTTCTAAGGTAGAGGATCAGAGTATTTTCAAACTGAATGACCAACCTGAGATGTTCCCCCACCTCAACCAGCTACCTGAGAAGAAACAGAAGAATGACTAACTTTTCTTCTGTCTGAATGAAAAAGCCAAGCAAGGAGCACTGCTGAGTATGAACATGTGCGAAGCTCCAGCAAGCCTGAGGAAGAGTCAGCAAAGGCCAGCAAGAGGCCATCAGGAGCAGCTCTCACATAAGCCCCTTCTTATCAACTGCTGCTGTCCTGTCGTGAGGGCCTCAAAAATCTGTGGGGGAGACTCAAGGAAGGCAGGAATAGGCCAGGCTGCTATTTTTTTCATCAACATATCCTGATAAGTGGTTTTAGCTGTAAAGAGTGCTTGGGAGGCCTCATTCAAGACAGGAGAAGACTAGATGTCAGGCGGCTGATGGCTGACCAGAATGAAGGTTCCTTTGGGATTACTTCCCTGGGTAAGTAATACAGAAGGGAAACAAGAAGATAGCAAAACTAAAACAAAACTAAAATGATTAGTAAAGAGCACTCAGAAAAACTTTTCTTTTGTAGTGCCCTTGCACATGCTAGGCAGGTGCTCTACCACCGAGTTGTATCTCCAGCCTGCAAAATAGTTTTTATTGAAGTACATTTTTAATGGTATGAGGAAACTGTCATCAGTAATTAAATTTATTCAAATATGGTGTCATGGCAACAACCATAACTGTATTTCCAAATTAGTGGCTTTTTTTCCCCCAAAATCTTTCTGGGACATCTAAATATAAATGAATGGATAGAGAGAGTATAATAGTGAGTATAGCAAGCTCCTATTCATGTTAAAAAGGAGACTATATAATGTATAAATAGACACATTGTGCGCACTCACACACATATCAGTACTGCACAAACCAATGCAGGAAGAACATACAAAAACCTAGTAATTTCTATGGAGAAGAACTGTTTAACAAGGAGTCAAAGTACGGGGGAGACTAACTCTTTACTGTTGATGTTCTATCGTTTGAATTTGTACTTTGTGTTCTTTATTGCAAAAACAGAATTAATTATTAAAAAGATAAAAGGAAGCAGAGTTCCAATAGCATTTCAGCAGGTAACAGATAAGCTCTCAGGCCAAGTTCAAACTCTCAATGAAGCCCAAGTTTCACCCAGCTGGGTGCAGGACACCCTACTAAACTAGGTTCAACACTGGCTGCAGAATCAGATCAGGTGACTGTGAAGGACAGAAAGACCCAGGGAAATCGGAAAAGAACGTGGCTTTTCCTTCAATTGTGCCTGGGGGCGCAGACGCTGGTCTGATTACTAAAAAACTGAGATATGTTCAAGTCTCTTAACCTCTTTGAGTTTCAATCTGTAGGCAGTTATGACCACTTTGCTGGATTGTTGGAGACTGAGTGAAGAACAGGGGATGCCAGCACAGGCAGTCAACACAGGTGTCCTGAAATTAATGAAGTATCACACACACACAATGGACACTTACCATGTTTTACTCCTCCCAGACCTCCCTCCCATTAGTTTACTGAGGAGCCAAAGATGGGGTGACACACAAGCCCACCTAGCTGCATCTGTAATCCTTTTTGCAAATGGTAGTTGTGGTAGTTGGTTATGCATTTTTCCAACATATTTTTCTGGTCTTATGATGATGCTCACTAGCTGGGAAAGCAAACTCTTAAAATGAAAACATATGTTTAGGTTCCCAGATCATATTTACTCAATTCTCTCTGGCAGAAACAATCTTTTCTTCTCCCAAATGCTTATAAAAATGCATTTGTATGTCTCTTCTCCCAGCGAGGATGTTCCACCTTGTACTACAGCCACTGAGTATACTTTTCCTCTCTTCTAGACAGTACACAATGGAGCAGCTGCATTTGCATATAACTAAGCTTTCTTCCTTTTGTTTTTTCGGTGTTTACCTTTTAAAAATGTGTATGCTTCAGCAAGCAACACTGGTGCAATAGTGGCACTTTTATCTTGGGGGTAATCGACATCTACTTAATTGGACTTTATTAAAGTCCACTCAATGGGAAGTAACTCATGTCTGGTACTGTAAACCTAGCCAAATACACAGAGCTGAAGAGGTCATAGATCTTAGAGAATATCCAAGGCTCTCAAATCCCTAGAGAAATGAAATTTCTTACTATGTGCAAAATATGGATCCTAAAATTTACAGATAAGTATCCCAGTCACCACCCACCAAAGGAGCTTCTTTTTCAACAGATAGATTATTATAGAACTACACCACTGGTCACACACAGAGATTCTCTGTGAATTGCCCAAGCCTAAGTGTCACATTTAAGATGCAACCTCTACACCTAAGACTCATGGAACATGGACGAGGGGATGAAGAGAACACAGATGCATCTTTCAATTCTCATCAATGAAGCTTCCTCATGCAACAGAGGACCAGGAATACAAAAGGCCACAAATGGCCAAAACACAGAGAATAAGAGTCTGCAGAGTGTGGGTCCTTAGACAGGACTCCTATATTGAGGTCTACCACCCAGTGCTCAGGGATCACTGCAGAAGAGGGGGCGGAAAGATCATAAGAGTTAGGGAGGAGGTGCATGACCATACGGAAATAGTCTTACAGGTGCCTGGGACCCTTCTCATACAAACCTACAGTAATGATGTCAGCATGCACAAGACCCACGCTAACTTAGACAGACAATAATCCAGCACAGAATTATGGAAATGAACAGCAGGCCCCAATTTTAGTTGAAGAATTATTGGCAGCTGATTACTGCTGGGTGAGGAAATGCTGATCTTCTTGAAGGGAGAGACTCCAGATAGGCTAACTAAATCCCAGTAGATGAACCTGCACTGAGGGACATCTAGGGACACTAACTTTACATAATAGGCCTTAATACAAATGACAGAATGGATGAACTCCAGTGTGTTTTGGGGGCACAATGGGAAGGTGCCAAAGAGGAAGGAGGCATAAAGATGATTGTATGTATGAAATACACAAAAATTTAATAAAATGTTTTTAAAAATGTGTGTGCTTGCCTGTACATATACATTATGGAGGCCACTTGGCCTTAA